AGAGAGAGAGAGAGAGAGAGAGAGAGAGAGAGAGAGAGAGAAGTGTGGGAGAGGGAAAGGAAGGAGATATAAAAAGAAAAGAGGTGAAAACGAGGAGAGAAAAAAAGTAGTTTGGGAAAGGGTAAAGAGAGAGAGGGAATAAGAAAAGAGGGTAGAAAGAAGTGAGAGAAAAGAGAGGTAAGCAGATAAATGGGACAGGGAGAGATAAGTTTAGAAGAGAGAAGGAAGTAGAGGAAATAGAGAGGAAAGAGAGAAACGAGATAGAGAGAGAGAGGGGGGAGGGAGAGAGGGAGTTGGAGAAGAGAAAGAAGAGAGAGTGGACAGGGAAAGGAGAAAGATAAGAAAAAAAGATAAATAGACGAGAGGAGAAATGGGAAGGTTGTAGAAAAGAGTCTAGTGTCTCATAATTAGTAGAAAATTAGTGGAACAATGTTCGTGTCTCAGGTAGAATATATCAAAGCAAAATATCTGTAAATTTTGCAATATTTATTTAGGAATCAAAATATATATAATAGTAAATGAGCAAGAATTGGTTGGATGAAGTTGATAGACGTAATTTCCAAAATGTCTCGAATTGTCAGTTTTCTAACAACGGTAACGTTCCTAATAATCATACATTATACGTTATTGCTAGGAAATTGTCAACCCATTGCAAACACCTTGAAGGTCATGCCTACAAAATCCTTTCCTATTCATTTATCCGCTAAGATTCTGTAAATAATTTATTTATCAATATTGCGAAATATACAAAAAATAGTAAATTTTTGTGTTTAGTTGACGAGTTCTACTTTTGCACATTCTATTCATTGTCAGATGTCTTGTAGAACATATACGTTCCGTAAAAAGAAAAAAAAACTATTTCGTAAAAAAAAAGAAAAAATAAAGAAATGTTACAGAAAAATACGAGTAGATATAGTTTGTACGATATAACATCGCTCAGACTTTTTTCTATGAGGAATAATAAAAAAATTGTATATTAAAAAATACTGACCACATCAGAAGGTATAAAGCAACGAATTATTGCATTATGTGTGACAATCAGTCTGGAAGTGTTAAGAATTGTACATGCTTCAGGAATTCAAAAATTGCAGTTTTGTATTTATGTAAACGGACATCACTTCAAGCATTTCTTATAAGGTAAAAACTATTATTTTATTTTTTAGTTGCATTTTATTATAAATCGTTGATATCATCTAAACATTCGCTGTTGCACTAAGAATAAAAAAACATAGCATACCATTTAAAAAAAATTGGAGGTGATCTTAAGATCTCTGAAATTCTTTTGTCTGGACAAAAATTATTATTGCCACATAATAGCCCGCTTCACATATCGTGATATTTTATTTATACACATTTTTTTCTATACTATATAGATCGGTAATTGTTCAGCCAACTAAGGCAAGATCGGTAATTGATGATAATACACTCAGAAAATATATAATAGCTCGAATCATGTAGGCATGCGTAATAGATCGAATCATGCTGATCTTGTCTTAGTTGACTGAACAATTACCGATCTTACCTTTGTTAGCTGAATCATTCTCCGATGTTTGTCTTGCTGGATCATTCTCCGATGTTGCCTTCGCCAGCTAGACAGCTTACTATAAGAAGCTCGATAACTTCGACAACACTAACTCAAAGTAGATAAAATTATAGTGTTTTGTAAAGGTCTGAAGAAGAGCTATAAGAATATGCAATAGGGGATTCCATTAAAAAAAATTCAAGGTGACTTTGCTTTGATTTTTGTGATGCCACTCAAAGTCAAACTGTTAAGTTTAGTAAATAGATCTTTTTAAACCCTATTTTTATCTGATACATTTTTTATAAAACTTATATTTTTCAAGATATCACGGGATCCCGGAACTTTTGGCCCATTCTGTGTGTGTGTGTATATACATTTATATGTGTGCATATAATATATGTATGCACACACACATGCACACATATAAGTCCTCTGCATTTTTCTCTCCCTCAATATGCACATAAGACAAAAAACAAAATATAGGACGTCCAATAAATCGTAATATGGTCGACGAAGAAACGATCGCACGTAAATAAATCAATCGAGAATACGGGATTAATATTTTTCATCATGCGAGATTTCGTTTCCGAAAGAATCAATTTTGAGAATCAACGAATTAATAATGCCTCTGCGTTTTTCTTGTTCTATATCTGAATAATCTTCAACAAACTCATATCTCATGTCGTTTTATCGAATTTGCTTTAACAAACGTTAGAAAGACGTTACTGAAAGAAAAAGCGATACTGTAACATGTTATATATGATTTTTTCGATTATTCAGATTATTCTTTCTTACTTACATGTTATATATTCGCTATCATAACGCGTTAATTGAATAATGTATGACGTATGTATATGTGACGACAAATGTCTCCAAATATCTTAATCAATACTTAAATAGAACGCGAATATATTACGAAACATTACGACGTCAGGTACGATTTCTTCAAAAGTAAAATTTCACAGAAAGAATAACGCCACAGACAATTCCGCGTTTTCGACTCTTCTTTTCTGATAAAGAGTCGCTTCATCGCCGGTTTTATTATGATTTACCGGGCAGTCTGCGTATAAATGGACTACTAGGCATACTGCGAGAACACGTTTCCGAATGGGTTTGCAGATCCCCCTTTATCAACAGCCGGAGAGGCACTACGAGCGTCGGGCGACACCGCCCCAACCAGACCGAACCAGCAAGGTGTGCCTGCCTAGTAACCCTGAAACCAAGGCCAATTGCCCTTTCTTGATACAAGCGTTCGTTAACTCAAAACTCAGTGTTTCTACGTATAAATATATCTATATGCGCTAGATTATTCATATTACTACTGTCGTTTTTTTCGTTGTCACTTATCGGCGATTACAATTGTTCCGATTACCATTGTCGTTTACGTTGATCATATTCTCGTTTTCGTTGAGTTACCTAGAGAACGTGCATAGTCTTGTCGTGTAACTTATTACAACTTTCGGTTCGTGGAATTTCTTTTTGTTTACACACATAACACGCCCGACACACTTAGACCCAGTTTGTGAGATAGCAGAGCCGATCAAGAGCTTTTTTTAAAACGGGAATTTGTTAATGCACCGATCGTCGAATAGAGGAAAAAGCACAAGATAAAAAGAAATAATAAAGGGCTAGTTTGATTTCTCTCTTTCCAATTAAATATTATAAACCGAACGAAAAGTTTATGGAGTAATAATTTTATTCCAAATCTACAATTCGCATTGTATGACCACTTGATTTCAAATCAAGAGATTGCAGAATTGAAGAATAAAACCGTGAAGGTCTATGTTGAAAAGAAATACTTGCAATGCTTATTTGAAAATAAATATTTCTTGTCCAACAAGAATCGATATAACGGTAAAGAATTGTCGCACTTATTTTTTTATTTGACACAATATATGGAATATAATTAGTAATTGTAATTTTTTTTAGAAAAAATCAAACCATCGCGCAGAATATTTTTTGTAGAATAAGCTCTTGATCAGTCTTGCCGTTAGCCCCGTAGTCCTGGTGATGCGACGTATGACATGGATCAGAGTTTAGAGGATGCGATATTAGCAGAGAGGAATCCAATATGTATCGATCAGTGGAGAGAATGATGCTTGCCTATTTATACACACACAAATATGTACCCGCACATACCTATATATATGTACATGCATGTGTATAAATATATATACACATGCATACATATGTATATGTATACACATATATATACACATAAAATATATCCATATTCATACATGCATATATACATTTACTAAGGAGGAAATGTAATAAAGCTATTAGTTTAATTGTATGGTATTCTTCAGATAAAGTGAAAGTCATTATAATTTCTTTAAATAGAGTCATATACACTTGTTTCCACTTTTGCATAGCTTATATTCAAATATTTTTGAAACACTATTTTTGTTTGCTATTTTACTCTAATCTGTTAAAAAGTTATGAATTTTTTTAAGTATAGTGAATAATCTATACTTTGCGCTGTGCCTACCATTAATGACATGAATAAGACAGATGTTTAATTTTTCTAAGACGCTAGCGTAACATTCGTTACTTTCTATGGTTGGTTGAAAGAGTAACCATAGAATAATCTGCTATTACACCAATATTATCTGCTATTACACCATTCGATTTCTTTCTATGAGGATCTACGATTAAAAGATATTGTACTTCAAAATACTACAATTGATAACATGAAGCAAATATTATCGCAGGTGTATTGTAAAAGATTCAACAAAGCTTTCCATATTATACAAAATGCAATACATTTTTATTAATTATGTTATTTTAACATTTTTTGTAATGTTAAGTCCTTTGAAATGTGAGAGATAAAAGGATTAATATTAAAAAAGCACTCATTCAAAAAAAAATTTATCCAGATAGAATTCTAAATGTCACAGTTAAAATTTATTGCTATTTGCTTTGTCTATGTTATGTAGAATTTACAGCAGCAGTATTCTAACGATATCTATAAACGATCTAGATGAGCGTGAAGATTATACATTCGTTTGTTTCTCGTACCTAGTTTTTTTGTTTATTACAGTCAATTTTTATAAGAAGTATGACTGGCTTTAATCTAGATGGGTGCCACTGAGAGACTTTTTTGCTAAATTTCACAAATAGTTTAGATACAAATTCTGTTTTTGTCATTCATATTGATTAAATATAGAATATATATGATATCGCGGTATCTACTAATTATTTGTTTATTTTATATAATTTTTATCTAGAAATTTTCTAGATAATTATCTAAATTATTTTTATTATGATTGCAAGACTATTATTTTTAGTGCAACAAAAGGGATCAAGTAGTTATCGTGTTCATGTTGATTCTGGATGGCGCTAAGCGTAGGTTACTCGCTATAATTTTAAAAATTTATCATCTTTTAATAAATTAAAATAACATAGCAAACAACTAGTGCTTTGGAAAAGTCTTAACATAATTTATGCAAAATGCAAACGTACATGTGTGGTCCTACTCAAGGAAATTATGATGATTTTTCTGACATGATTTTGAAAATGTTACTTAAGATTAAACTAATATTTTTGTTATATTTTCCCCTTAGTGCGTGAAACAACTCTTGTCTGAAATATTTTTTCATAACATACATAGAAAAAATTTTTAGGGTATTAAAATGATTTACCCTGTATATTTATATATGTATTTATATCCTGTAATACATGAGAATTACTTAACATATTAATATAACATTCGAAAATAAAGTTTAAATTAATAAACCTAGCCTAGGTCAACCTTGACTTAGATCAATGATCTTGACCTCATACATATATTGTTATCAAGGTCATTATCCTGAGTAATATTAAAGAAGTTTTTAATAAACAATGAGCCATCGCTCATTATTTATGAAAAAATTATTAACAGAAGAAGTTAAATGAAAAATACATAATTTGCGTTGTCGAAAGATGCACGATATAGATTAGGTTAAGTTAGAATTTGGTTTTTGGAAATGCAAAAGTGACAGTGTAATCCCTCTTTCATCTATACGTGTGTACTGTGTTCTCACACACAGTTTAAAGAATTTACATTACTGATACACAAAAAATTACAAAAATTAGGTATTTTATATCATAAACTTATTTTGAAATAATTTCTTTTAAAATAACTTTTTATGACAAATAATGAGGGGCAGCTAAAATTTTAATGTTTTCTTAGCGTTAATCAAAATTTTATTCCTTTACTAAAGAAGTTCTGAAGAAATGAATTGGAATGTTCACGTAACATCGAAAACAAATTTATGAAGGATGCGACACCAACATTGACCAAATATTAGGACCATCATATACAAAATGGTATAGTCGCATGTGCACATGACGATCATAGAACCGTCTCGAACAATGAACATGCTCTGCAAATAAACATGATGATTTTTTCTTAGATGTTCATTGATTGAGACAGTCTTATATTATGCATATACAGCTGTGCCATTTTGTGTATAATTACTTAGTTTTTTATTCTTACTTTACTCAGATCCTTATTCAGAATTAAGACCTTGGCAACATATATCAAAGTCATTGAAATTAGCTTTGTTAATTTAAACATTTATCCAAAATAATATGTAAATAGTTTATATAAGCATATGTCTAATTTGACCTTATTTGCAAGTTACAGAGTTTTCTTTTAGTAAATTGCATCCATTTATTTTTATAACAAGTGTCCAAAATGATCACCTTGCATCTCGATGTAAGATGTGATGAAACTTGTGACGTCTTATCATCAATTTCTTTATTTTGTTTACATATCCAAATATTCTTTGGATTTGTTTGGGAACTTAGTGAATGTATTGCCGGGATATTTTAATCCTGGCAATATATGTTGTGTAAACAGCGGACTACACAACTTCAGAAGTGAAAAATAACAGATTTAAAGTTAAACGACAATCAACAAATCGTACATATGAAATATTGAGTATTATTTTTAGAGATAGACAAGTAAAAATTAATTATGCTTATATTAATTGATCAAAAGAATTACTGAAATACATAAAATTTTTTCATAACTTTTAAAAAATAAACGGAAACAAGATCAAATCAGACATATGTTTTTGTAAACTGTTAATATATTTTTCAAATAGTGAATCGATTTGCAATAGTTTCTCTCATATTATGGAATTATCTGTATATATGTATGTATAACGATACACACCCACACAACCTCATAATGATGATGTTTTCACTAACTACTTACTTGTTAAAATTCATGTTTTATCGAATAGCTGACTCCTCGCCAAAGTTCTTGGGAACGGTTTTTGGTATGAGATGCTATTTTGTTTCTGTCAGGTTTTGTTGGAAAGTTTCGTTCTGCTAGGTATCATTAACGTGAGTTTGGATGCCAGAATAGTCATTGTGAATTGGTCGTGTCGAATACTGGCTCACGATCGTTCGATCACCCGTTATTCGCTCAATCGTAATCGCGGGAAGAAAATGGTCATTGCATATGTCTATCGCATATGATAAAGAAACGGTTGCATTCCGTGCCACGAATTTTTGGATTCTCAATTATTACCAATCTCATAAGCTATATTGTCGTCTTCACTGATTTGACAAGATATAAGTACGCTTATACGTTATACGAATCAATAGCGATTATCGACGTGCTCTCTAGGCGGTTTGCATAATCTAGATACGTATGCATGTATGTAACGATAATGTGTATATATATATATATATATATATATATATATATATATATATGTATATATGTATATATATATATATAATGGCAATACACCATTTCTTGACAATAGTAGCCTATGAGATTAGAGTAATAATTAAAAATCAAGAATTCAGTCATGTCGAGAGATTCGAATACGCGATAATAAAGCGGAGAATGTTCTTAAACAAGCTCTCAGACTACGTGCGCGAGGAAAACGAGAGTGAGTACGACAACAAATTTTTCAAAGGTATTCGACACGAGCCGCTCTATAGACGAAAAAGTTGGTTGGTCTAACCGTAGATCTGCCTGTGAGTGTTAGGTGTACATTGACCCTATTTGTCCAAAATTTTTGGCGATGTGCCCGTGTTCAGTGTATGCTCCTAGTTTCGTTTGTTTCTTGTCGATTTAATCCTTCTTTCCTCGTCCTGTCTCCCGAATTAAATTCCTAGTGAGTAATCGAGGTACCGATTATTTTTGTTGGTCCTTATTTGTGTTCTATCTGGTTGCTTGCTGTTTCGTG